GCATCTGCTTTTCGAATGGCTCCCGGCTCCTACAACGAATGCTAAGAAAAATTGAGCCTACCTGTGCTGCCGGAGGATTCTAAAGTCTAAGAGAAGCTTTCATGTAAAAAACGTGGTGAGAGTGTCCATGGGATTGAAAGGAGCAGTAAAACTAAGGGGTCACAAGCAGGGAGGGAGGTTCCAGATGAGGGGTCTGGTGTAGAAGCTATAAGGCGAGGAAGTTTGAGAACGGGAAACTTTAAGTCCTGCAGTGAGAGGTAATTTTCGGTTCACAGCTTGATGGGCTAGATACATGCTGTGATAACAGTGAGCAGGGGCCAGACCTATAGGAGCTTTGACACTTCCTCCCTGAATGGAAAGCTCCCCTTGCCCGTTACCTTGTAACAATGCGTCAACAGGAGAGAATCTCCACTCGGGATAAGGATGGGATACATCCTGTGCTCCTGGCCCAGTACAGTTTACCCTGGTGCACAGAGTAGGTGTTTTATGCCTCTTACCCCCAGAGAGTTCCTGCAAAGTGTGGCTTTAGTGAGTGTCTGGGGACTCAGCAACCATTGGGCTGGCACTGTTTGCAGGGGTCTGGGAAGCCAGACCTATTCTATTACAATGGGAGTCAAATCTTCCTGCTCCGTTTTGCTGTTGCTATCATGTCAAACTCTAAGAGAAGAGTAGATTTTTCCTGATGGGGAAATTAATAAAATATGGGAGAAGTTTGTATGAAAAGGCAGCTAAGTGAGAAGAAAGACTTGGACTGTGACCCTAACACTAGAATATTTGAGTTTATTCAGCAGGGTAAACACCCACACACTCAAAATATGATTTAACGGGAGGAAATTTACCTAGAGTTTCTTTGTAAAGATCATGTGGGGTTGATTTGGTTTCCGTGTACTGAAGTGACACACATTCTCTGACATCTGCTAGATTTGTTTTAGCCTCTAGGTGTGTGACATTTTCTGGGGTCAAAAAAACCCCAATCATGGACATAACAGACATTGTGCAAAATCTCAATGCATCCCAGCCACTTGTCATGTGCTTTATGCACATAAACCCCATCCACGAGTCTAGGAGACAGGGCTTAAGAAACGCCCTTGAGAAACACAGAGCCTGGGGCTCACAGAGTTTGCTAATGTACCTCAGTGTATGCAGCTAATAAGTGACTAGGCTGGGGCTGCACCCCCTGCACTGGATTTGTCCAGAGCTCACAAACACACTCCTTCCTGCTGACCAGGAGTCAGTTAATTCACATGTGTCTATACTCTGTGCGTAGCTCCAGGGAGAAAACGAAGAAACTTGTGACCACAGCGCTGAATGGACTCGAAAACAAGAGCAATGAAAATTCCCAAATATATAAAAGATGAATACAAAACAGAAGAGATCAGCCTTAGTGACATTATGATCATCCACATATGCAGTATAAGGTACCTTGCAAAGAACCCCAGGGCCTGAATGGTGTGGTTCAGTGGGTTGGACATGCCTCTGCAAACCAAGAGGTCACCGGTTCGATTTGTGGTCAGGGCACATGCCTGGGTTGCAGGCCAGGTCCCAGGGTCGGAGTGTGCAACAGGCAACTGACACATGCATTCGTGCACATTCATGTTTCTATCTCGCTCTTTCTTCCTCATGCTCCCTCTCCTAAAAATGCATCAATAAAATCTTCATAAAAATAAATCAAGCTTATAAACATCTCTCTCTATCCTTCTTTATTCAATAAGTCTGGCTGGTGAGGAGAAGTAAGATAGCAGCTGTCTTTCCTCTGACCCAACAGCCCATGTACTGGCCTCCAATTTGTGCTGCACTGTCCTCATTTAACATCATCCTTGGAATGGTGGCCCACTTTCTGCAGATTTGCAATAGGGAAACTGCTACTGTGTTTGCAGGGAGGTGTCAATTACCAGAAAGCCTTTAATCTCGGGGCTCAGGACCAATTAGTCCAAAGTATGGGAGTTAAGAAAAAAAAACCTAAGGAGTGTATCTAAGTTCAGCAAGACTCCGAGGTTCTGACGGGTATTGGTGAAGATAGTGAGGAAGGAAGAAGTGGAAGGAACCATGCTAAATACTAAGATCCCAGTTTGAACCCCTATTATCTGTGTCTGGAGGTCTCAAAAGACCACGATCACATGAGGATCACCCTGATTTCCAATTTTGAAGTCTCAAGAAAGCGGGACATGAAGGTAACATAAGAGGAGGCAGGAAAGCAAAAGCAGAAATTACAGGACTGTTCCTCTCATATAATAAGAGCGCTGAACTGTACGAAGGGTTGCACCCACAGCATAGAAAGAGGTCTCACGAAATCCTTTCTGCTGTCATCCCTGAGGAAGCCCGTGGCAGAGATGTCAGCCTGATTCGAGCCTGGGAAGTCTCAGGGAGGTGAGGGCCTCCGTGTAATGTAAGCGGTTTTCGTCTGGCAGAGGGAACGACTGTTTCTCTAACAGTAATCCATCTATGTGAGTATCCTGAGTGTTATGAGTGGACAGGGGAAAAAACAGACAGGCAATGCCAAAAGCCAGAGTGGCCACATAGAGCCTTGGACTTAGTCCTTGGCAACCCAGAGCACTACCACTGACAGTCCACGCCTTCCACGTGGGTGGTCTCAGAGAGGGAAGTGCCTTGCCTAACAGGATCTAAGCCCAGCTCTGCAAAGACAGACGTCTGGCACATAACAGAGGCAAGACGAGGACACTCAGTGCTGAAAGATGGGCTACCTCCCGACATTGTGGGAGCCTTACTGGGTCCCTCACCTCATCAGTCTTGTAAGGCCCAGGGCGCCCATCAGAAGCCGTCCAACCCAAATGCCACACTGGGACTCAAGAAAGTGAGCACTTGGTTTGCTGTCGGGACTCCCCAGATCACCAGAGAAACGAGTCCAGGCTCTGAACACACAGAAGTATCGACACTAAGTGAGGACCTAGGGCCCACTGACTCCTAAACAATGGGGTCCGACAGAGCCCCGTGCAGCTCTCAGTTCTCAGGCACCGCGGACAGCCCTGCCGGATAGGACCCACCTACTTCCGCTTGGGAGCGAGGGCCTTTCTTGGCGCGCAGACGGCGGCTTTCCAGCTGAGGGTGGATTTGCAGGACCGGCCTCGAGTCAAGGTGAAGACTCCGACTGGGACCTGCAGAAACCACAGCCCTCCCAGAGCAAAGGTGAGTACCGACCCTATTTCTCCCTTGCTGTCATACTCTGAGATGCCCCAGCAGAGACATCGGGTGGAATTCGGCCTCGCACGTGTTTGTGAGAAGGCTTTCCTTGGTCCAAGCGGGTTGCCCGATTCGGCAGATGGACTGCATGCAGGCCAGAGCTGCCCTCAGATGAGGGCCTGAGTGCTTAAGCACCGAGCTCAGTGCACAAAACGGGGGCTGCAAAGGGCAGCAACTCAGCCCTCAGCTCTAGGAGGCGCCAGGCAGAGGAGACAAAGAAAAAGTGAAGTATCATCCCCTCTAGTGGTAACTAAGGGAGGCGACCGCTGGAACTGCCACTCCCAAACTCAGCAAAGGCAGGCCAGACTGGGCTGGCCGGTTGAGCTGGGCTCTCCTTTCCCCTGGACGTGGTCTCACGGAGGTGACGGCATAGGTTTATTGGAGGAAGCCTGATTCCGAAAGGGAGAGCCAGTCCCTAAGGGGACTCAGGGTTGTGACAGTGTGGAGGATGGGGGACTCTGCACAGAAAATAGCGGGGGGGGGGGCACCGGAAGTCTCAGCCCTCTTTTCGGCTCTGGGAGGTGGGGTATGTCACCAGGATGAGTCGCACTCCCTTCTCCCCAGGCCATCTCAGGGAGGGGGCCAATCAGGAAAAAGGGGGCACCGTCCCGTCATGGGTGGCAGTGTTTCATACTCTGCCGTTTCCAGAGAGACCATAATGACTGGGCATGGGCCACACTGTACAGTGGGACCACGGAGAATCCTCCCTGTTTTACACGCCCGCAGACGTTAAGGATTGGTGTGCTACAGGAGTGCCCATCGGTCATCATCAAGGGAGAGAGGGTAATGAGAGGAGTGGTCCCAGGTTAAGAGAGAATCATGGCGCCAGCGGGAGTCAAATTGAGAACTTCATTGAGATTCTGTTTGGAACCACCTACCATAGGACCTCAGCTTGCGTGCAACAGTCCCCATTGTTGGGTGACCTGCTTGAGTCACATAAGGTCAACCTCGTGTCCTCTTTTTGGGTCTGGGGGTGGTTGGCTCTTACTGTGAGGACTGTTCTACAAGGGGCCCAACTGAGGAATATGAGGGAAGGCTCAAATGACCAGCCAATTCTGAATAAAGGGGACATGCAAGCATCCACTCCCCCTCCCGTCGCTTTCAGTCCAGCATATCTTAGAGATGGGGTGTGAGGTTGAGTTTCCCCTGCATTTCTCTATGTCAGGTCTGAGGGAGGTGAGATCCTTAGTCTGTAGGTCCAGCCAGCAGGTAAAGGAAGGAGAGGTGCAGGGCCTCACAAGGAGCGAAGGTGAACAGCTTGACTGACAGCTGAGGGTCCCCATGAACTCAGGAAACAAGTGAGCCCTCTGAACTCTCAGTATTGAGCGGCACCTGCTACGCAGGTGAACGGAGGCTCCCCTCCAACTCCTTCTGGGTGTCAGGGAGTGTAGAGGTGGCAATGTCAGAGTAGCAGAGGAGAAGGTGGCCAGGCTTTAATCAGACCTGATGTGTTAATACGGAAGAGGAACTGAGAGGACCCTCCATGCCTGAACAAAAGGGGTGACACATCACCTGCTGTTACTTGCGTAAAGTCAGGCAGGGCTGGTGGCATGCAGCATGAGCCTCTCTCTAAAGGTTCTGTGGTTCCTGTATGGGATTCTTAGCGGACAGACTGACCAGGAGAGTAGGAATGTTGTCGGTTCTTAGAGTAGCGCCCTCAAGGAAGCCTACAGAGGCCGCCTTCAGTGAAGCCTAGATGGAATCTACCTGTTGAAGGTATTCACATCCTCTCATTCTCCATCCACCAGGTGCCCAAATCAGCTCTTGGCAGGTGCACGCCCCTGTCCTGAACAACAACCATCATGCCTCGTGGTCACAAGAGTAAGCTCCGTGCTCGTGAGAAACGCTGGCAAAACAGAGCTGAGACCCAAAGTCTTAAGAGTGCTGAGGGCGCTAATGCAGAGGAAGAAGAGGCCGCTTGCTCCTCCTCTTCCATCCTGGGGGATGCTCCCTCGAGCTCCACTGGTGCTGGCCCTCTCCAGGTATCTCCGAGTGCCCCAGCCCCCACCGGTGCTGCTGCAGGTGTTTCGTGCGAAACATCTGCTGGGAAAGCTAAGGGCCGTGTTCGTAAAAGTAAAAATTCTTCTGAGGCCTCAGCTATTACAAAGAAATCTGGCGTAAGTATTTTGTTTCAGAAGGCAAATAAGTTGGTTCAGTATCTGCTGAATCAGTACAAAATGAAGGAGCCCATTAAGAAGGCAGACATGCTGAAGATAGTCCACAAATGGTACAAGAAGGACTTTTCTGAGATTCTGGAGAAGACCTCTGAGCTCATGGATCTGGTCTATGGCCTAGAATTGAAAGAAGTCAAACCCAGTGGTAACTTCTACATCCTTGTCGACAATCAAGATGACGCCAGCAATGAGAGTCTGAGCAGAGTTTGGAAATTTCCCATTAAAGGAATTCTGATGCCTATCCTGAGTATGCTGTTCTTGCAGGGCTACCGCGCCTCTGAGGAGGATCTCTGGGAATTCCTGAGTGTGATGGGCATCCAGGATGGACAAAATCACTTCCTTTTTGGGGAACCCAGGAAGCTTATCACCCAAGATTTGGTGCAGGAAGAATACCTGGTGTACCAGCAGGTGCTCAACAGTGATCCTCCATGCTACGAGTTCCTGTGGGGTCCAAGAGCTAAAGCTGAGACCAGCAAGATGAAAATCCTCGAGTTTCTTGCCAAGATCAGTGATAACGATCCCACAGCCTTCCCATGTTACTATGAAGAGGCTTTGAAAGATGAGGAAGAGAGAGCCCAAGCCAGAGCTGAAGCTGAACCCGGGGCTGGCAGTCCTTCCAAGGCCGGTGGGCACTGCACAGCCACATCCAGCCAGGACCGTCACCCTGAGTGAAAGCCAGGTGGGGGTCTTCCCTTTTTGGTTGAAAGGCCTGTAAGTCAGTTGGCTAATATAGAGAATAACTTGATGACTTATATTTGTGTTTATGTTGAATGATTAAGTAGTATTCCTGTATGCAGAATGTTTTTGTTTCAGAATATAGGTTTATGAATGTCATGAAACTCACAATGATTGCCCTGTATCAGGTTAGTAATAAGAGTGTGTGTTTTTTTCTCTTTTGAAATACGGATGGGCAATCCTTAATCACTTTTGTGATCCAGAATGAGATAACATGGCTTTACGATAAGAGTATCTTTTCAGGTTAGAAGGAAGCTTACACTAAATTAGCTGGGAGCAGTAGATAGATAAATTTATAGATGAATACAGAGATGAAGTGAAACATGGCCCTTCAAAGAAATGTTAATTACAGTTGACAATCACTATTCTGAGTTTAGGTGTGGAACATATTAGACATTTATATAACTCAGAAAGTGTTCACTGCCAGAAATTTACTACCCATTTGAACCATATGTACTTAATTACAATGTTATTTACTATTTTAACTATGCTGTATCCTCCATGATCTGTTACAGCTAAACACAGACAAACTACATGTCCATGTGCAGAGGGATGGATAAAGAAGATGGGATCCATATATAAAATTGGTCATTTCTTGCGTGCCTCACTACATTTAGTCATTTGTTGTATCAATTGTAAAGATATGTACCTGGATTTGCTTACCTTTTTGAAGAATGTTTGAAAATGTAAATGAGAGTGAATCAGACCTCTTGGTGCATGGCTTTTATTTGACACAGTCACTAATAAAGCATCCGTTCTTTGGAAGTCTTCATGCTTGCACTTGGGATGTTCTTTAGTGAAGATTTTATTTATTTGTTTTGGAGCGAGAGAAAGGGAAGGAGAAAGAGAGGGAGAGAAGCATCGATGTGTGGTTGTCTCTTGTGTGCCCACAACAGGGGACTTGGCGTGCAACCCAGCCTTGTGCCTTTACTGGGAATCCGACAAGCTACCCGTTCGTTCACAGGCTGACACTCAATCCACTGAGCTTCATCATCCAGGACTGCACTGGGGATGTTTAGGTAAAGAAGACCCTGCTCCTGCCCATGCAATTACAGATTGTAGCAGAAGCTATCATTACCAAAGAGGGTGAGATCCTCCATACTTCATTAAAAAAAAGAGTAAAGGAGAGTAAAAAGGGGTGAAGGAGTAGCACATTACTTAACTTTCATCTCTAAGCAGATTTCGTACCTTTGGGAGCTCAGTGGGTGATCCAGGGACACATCAAGTCACTACTGTCACCCTGTTGAGGTCTGCGGTAGAATCTTTGCATTGTAGTTGGAAATGTCTGTTGCCCGGTATTGGTGATGTACAAGGATATCTCGCTGACCTCAATTTGGGTTCATTTTCACATGGTGTTCTATCAACAGATAGTCTGTTTAGGTTCATAATATAAGTGTGTGAAAGACAAGTATCACACACTTATTGTATGTGTCAGGTTTAGGAGTAAGAGTTTTGTGGTCTGAAATACACATTGAAAATCCTTAAGTCACGTTTGTGGTCCTGAAGAAGGCAGCATGGCATTCCATAAGGGATATTTTTGGTAATTTGAAAACTCAAAGTTAGATTGGATCAGAACATGGAGAGTTGGAAAAATATAAAAGTCGGTCCATTACAGGTTTGCCTTACTCCATTCACTCTTAGGTTCAAAAGTTATAGACCTGGATATCCTTAGATTATTCAAAAATGAATGAGTTTAGGGGAATGTATAATTGACACAGCCACTATGGAAGACAGTATAGAGATGCCTCAGAAAGATAAAACTACCATATTATGCAGCAATTCCACTCTTCGGTACTTACGTAAATAAAGTCACAAATGTCAAGGGGTATATGTATCCCCATGTTCATTGTAATGTTATTTACATTAGCCAAGACATGGAAACAAAGTAACCATTAGTGGATAAATTTATAAAGGAATTGTCATAATTTGCACACACACTCAACACAGAGAGAAAAAGATGTATCATTCAGCACTAAAGAATTCCTGATATTTGTGACAGAATGGGCTACGTGAAATAAAGGGTGATTTTCAAGTGGTGTTCTTTCATTAGAAACTTTTCAAATGACAGGTACAAATACTGTATGGCATCACTTATATGTGGAATTTTTAAAAGAGCCAAACTGAAAAATTAACTCACAGATCGAGCAGATTGGTGCTTCCCAGGGGGAGGGAGTGGTGGTGGAACGTGGGTGAAATTTTGGTGAAGGTGACCAAAAGGTACACATGTTCAGTTATAAAATAAATGGCCCCTGGGGTTGCAATGTTCAGGACGGAAAGTAATAATACTACTCTATTAGGTGTGTGAACATCGCCAAAGGACTATATCTTAAGTAATTTTAAGAAAAAAAATCTGTAGATAAAAATTTTTTTCAGTGTGTGTATTACAATACTTTATGACATTTTCCCACAAATTTAACACCTTCAGCGTAGAGACGTTCAGTCTCCCACAGTTCCATAGGTCAGAAGTTGGGCATGGAGTCGCTGGGTTCCCTCGTTCAGAAACCTCACAACTCCGCACTCATTGCAACTGGTAGCTTTCTCCACATGCGGAGCTCCGGAGCTCTTTCCAATACCATGCATGTTTGGGGCAGAATGCACTTACCGGAAACGGAAGGACTAAGGTTCCCATTTGCCTGCATACTGTCGGCTAGGCGCCATTCTCAGGTCACCCTTAGGTGTTTGCTATGCTCTGCAGCTCCTTCCATCTTCAAAGCCAGCAAGGAGAGCCTCCCTCTCACCCTTTGGATTTCTCTCACCAGGAAAAGCCCCGTCCCATTTAAGGATTCACCTCATTAGGTCTGGCCCATGGAGGATAATCTCCCTATGGTAAGAAGATTATATTTGGGGCCTCCATTGTATCTGCTCAATCCCTCATAGCAGCACCTAGATTAGTGTTTGATGAGTTAACTGGAAGAATATATATGTGCAAGCAAGTCAGGAATCTGGTAGGCCATCTTGGAGTTCTGACTGCCAGTGCCCTTGCAATACTGTGGTTATGCTTGTAATGAAGAGCTTTCACCTTTGAAGGTACATAATAGGATAAATATTGTTATGGATGGTCTTCTCAAAGTGACTTGGGGGTTGAGGGTGGATATAGAGGAGGTAAGATTGGTGGCGTGCTGATATTGCCGAAGCTGGGAAATGAGTACCTGCAGTTACAATATTCTCTTCTTACTGCAAATGTAGAAATTTCGTCACACAAATTCTTGCAGAGCATGCAAAGTAAAGAAAAACTTCCAAAATTTTAGATAAAATGAGTATAATAATATTATACAAATCAAGTGAAAGTACCTCAAAATTACTTAATTTATTATTATATTAAGTATATTGCTTATTTCCCATATTACTTAAGAACACAGTTGCTGAATTCTCATAGTGTTAAATTGGTCAACATGTAACAAAACTAAATATTCATTTACCCATGAGCCAACATTGTACTCTTGAAACCTGTCCTTTAAAGCACACACTCAAAGATATAAAAATATACAAATGTTCATCTGTATATGATTGAAAAACTTATGGCATACCAACCTCGTCAGAGCTGCAACCAGGGCTCACCCACTGCTGCACGGCCAGTTTGCCGTCCAGGGCATATCCCGGAACTCCTCCCATCCCTAGTGAGGCTGCAGGCAGAGACTTCACTTTCAAGGTGGTTCAAGGAAGCAGCCAGTCTTCTAACCAGTGAGGAGCCAACATGGGGCTCCTTCAAATGCAGTGCATACTGTGTTCCTGTAGAGTATGGGGAAATTGGAGGTCTGTGTTTTCTTTTTTTCTCTTTTTAATGTTGTTCCTTTCAATACAAGGTTATCCACTTCCAGAACATAAGTATACGAGTGACATGGATCACACATTTGTGGGATATTACCAAACTGAAATGTAGGAATTCTGGTATTGTGTAAAAATTGAAAATTGCTGGACTATTTCCTGCCATTCAGAACAAGACACCATAACACAGAAATACAGATTTTTGTTTTTAAATAAAAGTGTGGAGGGGGGGTATTACCCCACAGTAAATCATGTGTTATGACAATGAAAAAAATGTAAAATGTATTCATGTCTTTGTTTCTTTGATTCCTTTTAGATTCTTTGTAAAATTGAACTACATGGACATGCATTAGCTCAGATAAAGGAAGGATGTGGGAGAAATTGAATCATAATAAGATTGACATCTTAAACACTTGCTCTTTACATGTGCAAATATTAATTTAGCACCTGCTCCTTGGTAGGCTCCAGACTTCTGTTGGGGATGCTAAGAGAAACAAAGCCTGCCTTCGCTGTCCATAGGATTTTAAAGTCTAAGAGCAGTTTTCATATAAAGTAGACAGTCAGGTTCTCCATCAGATCTAGAAGACCAGAAGAATGAAGGGGTCATAAGCAGGGCAGGAGGTTCCATATTAGGGGCCAAGAATAGATGCCATCTGGCACAGTAGTGCAACACCAGGAAAGTGAAAGATGTGTGGTGGGCGGTAAGTGAAGGTTGGAGCAGGGTGGGCTAGATGAAGCTGTGATAATGGTGGGCCAGGGCCAGACCCTCAGCTACTGGGTCTCACCATCGAAAGACTTCCACCTGGAAAGGAAATGTACTCTTACCAGTGACTTTGGAATTGAGCGGAAGCCAGAGAGACTCTCCACTGGGGACAGGGATGGAACGCATCCTGAGCTCCTGTCCCAGTGCACATGACCCCAGTGCACAGACAAGGTGGTGTATGCACATCGTCTCCACAGAGTATCTGCGAAATAAGGGAGGCCATCTGTGACAGAAACTCAGCAGCTGACAGGCTGGCTCTTTTTTGCGTTAGGGAGTCAGAGCTCATTCTATTAAAATGGCATGCATGATCTTTTTGTTGTGTTGTTGCTCTTGCTGTTACAGTCATTTGGCAAACAGTAAGACAGGAGTAGATATTACATGATGGTGATCTTAATGAAGATAGGGGAGG